TCTCAGTTTTCGTATCTCCAAAAAGAATCTCTGGTCGTCTTAATCTTTGAGGCCGATTTTAGAATAAAAACATAGAATTTACACAGTGTCTGATGCGTACATGTTTCGTTGATGAAAGAATGGTTGTTCAATAGGACATGAATAAACTTCATATACTTTCTACCAATAGCACGTGAGCCGACATCGGCCAGAAAGTATTCTGCTTAACTCGAACCATCTGCACTCTGGGTGGAAATGATGATAATGATGTTTGACTGGAGACCTAACCCACTAGCCTACTGGCACAAATGCTACGGATGCAAACTGTTTATTCAATAGCGAAATGCAGCCCACTTGAACCTGAGCCCAAATGCTTTCGTTTCCTCTTAGTTGCTCTCAAGTTCGTCACGGTTGCTGTTTGGTTGCCCAGTCACTGCTATCTCCTGCACGTGAAACACAGGTTGCTGTTTGACCTGTAAGGGATCAACAATGACGCAACCGTTTCTGTCACGTTGCTCAGGGTTTTTAGTTGTACGGAAACACAGCAAAACACGTCTGTTAACAGTTGATCACCATATATATTCCGTACGAACTCTTTACTTGCGAGTTTTGTTTGCCAGGACTTATTGTTCAAAGCTAACTGAAACAAATTTGTCTCCCAAATGGTTACTACTAGTTTTTAACGTGCAACAATACTAAGTAAGTCCCTGATATTAAATTATTAACCCGAAGTATCCAACAGACAGAATGCACGAGGTGAAGATCACAATTAATAGGAAAAAATGTTGTTGGAGCTTTACTACTGTTTGTACATGGGCTACTACTGTTAGATATTATTACTTACCAGTAATACTTCTGTGAGTTCTACTTCAGGAGAAGTCTTAGCCGTGAGATCGTCGACTTGATTTAATAGGACAGTTACTGTGTCCCTTATGGATGCGACCGAGCAATACGACATTTTGTCGCTAGTAAACGTCGCCAAGTAGTTTCACATGACAGTTCAGTGATGCCTACTGTGAAATCATTAGTGCCATGGTAGACATGGTTCCCACATAAAAGTATGGCTGCTGCTCGACCTTCTGTCTCGGTAGGGATAGACACAACGGACTAACTTTAACGAAAGCAAGAATCGAGTATGGTGCTTCCTATTAAAATGAGTTGACAGAAGAGTCTGTGTGGAACGCGGGTGTGGATAACGTTCAATCTGCAGCGATCAAACATTCACTACTACTTATCAGTAATCTGCATATTTCGTAACTTGCTTCTCAAGGATTACAGTCTATTGTACTGAGCTGAAAACGGAAACTATACAATATGGAAATCATACTATACGGACTGAGACAAAAAAAATAACCACCGTCAAGAATAAAATGAACTACCGCCCTGCATCTTCGTTCTTTCTTGTAATTTACGGTGTAACTTTCTTGTGCAAGCAAACAAAAATACAGAAGAATATCTACACCAAAAATAGTACGATTGGTGGGACAAAGTTTGAGTTGTGGTTTAGACGGAAAGTAAGACTATTTAAAAGGTACAACCAAAATTGTGATTCTCAACATGTTGCACCCATGCGAAACATGTTAACTAGTTCATACAAGAGTAAATGAAGGTATTCCTAAACAGTCATTGAACAGTACGCCTAAGTCAACTGCACATATGCATGGAAATTCACCCAAGATTATCTTGTAGGTTGTTAAGCATGCGTTAAACATTGGTCAACTCGTGAATTCAAAACCGTGGCTTACTCTTGTTTGGCACAGTAAAATCTTACCACTATTCAAATTTACAGAAGTCCTGCTAAGTTTTAGTGAAAAAGAATTATAGCTATATGTTCAAACGTTACTCGTGGTGAATTTATTTGCTTTTACTAGACATCCGGAACTTTCATGCTTGAGTCTGTTTCCCGACTTTTGCACTTTTGGCCAAAGTTTGCTCTGTTTTTATCACACTTTGTACTGTTAAGGAGAGCATAATAAACAAATACATACTATAGAACAATTGTTTTCAATGCCCGAAATCGAAGTGAGTTAAGATAATCAAGACAACTGGGTTTTAGCTACACATATATCCACTCAGATATCCTTAAGCAGATATAATTGTATCGTATTTTTATGTTTAACAACGATCCGTTTGATCAGAGCGTTTCACTCAGTCATGGTAAACTATGTCTGCCCACTAGTTCGCTGTTGATATCATAATCTATTTCCCAGCTGTGTATAAGATCTTTTTTAGAAATATCCAGAATACCTATAGACTAATAGCTTTGATTAGAAAGTAACATGTCTCTTCCAAATGACATTTCCCACCTCAAAGACGTTGCAGAGTACACTGTAATATGTATAGTTTGCCGAGTATTTACCTCACTCTACATTTTTAAAACTTAATTCCAGTTGTTGTAAAAAAATTAAATACGGCTATGGATTGTCTTGATAGCCTGAGTTCTTCCCACACACAACAGAGCCTATTGTCAGTTCATTAAGTCAGATATGCCCAGCAGTGCCACAACATCATTCTACACTTACCTTCGTAAGTTGTCAGAATTGTGATTAGGACTGGGAGCCAAAACATCATTTAATCTTCAGTACAGTCTTCCCGCTCTAATGTTTGTTAACACACTTCAGGACCGATTAAATAGTCCAAACTTTATCGAAAGTTCACACTCATCTTCCCACATACTAAATGTAAACAGTATACACCGATTCAAAACGGTCTCAGGTATCAGTGACTGCACGTAACAATGAAAGCTAACATTGTATAAGACCCTAGCAAACAATGTGTACTTTGTGCAAATGAAATTTGATACTTTCCATTTTTGGAAATAAAGTTTTTTGTTTTTACTTGTGCGATGCGCTGTAAGTGATGTGGTAATACAGAGGCAAGACTGTAGATGGTTGCAAAAATCAAGTTCTCCTCAATGAGACGATTGATTAGGTCTAAGTTAGAGAACAAGCAATCAACCAGGCAGAGATAAACAGATGACATGACAAAATTAGACACAGACTAGACTGGAGGTTGCTGACAGGCTGACGTGACATACAGGTTCAGTCACACACCCAGTGGGAATTTCACAAGATACATTCTGTTTATCCGTCATTTTATAGCCATTATTAGCTTAGCAATGAAGGATTCCAGGGACCAAGCCTTCTACTTATATGGAACAAGAGTGCACACTCTAGCGTTTTCTTTAGGTCGTGAGTCCATTCCTCTGATTTCTTTTCCTTCCTAGTTGAACATTGCATTTCCCTTCATGTTTGTGTGGAAGTTAACCATCAGGATGAATCACTCATGTGTAGATGCCTTTGATAATGACGGCCCCATTGACAAAAACGGACACATCGATCGTAATGTGGTGAGGGCGCATATGTCAGTACGTTCTTTTGCACGATACGGTCACTTCGGAGTAATTCAACTGGTTAGTTTCTGTGGTTCTGAGTGCAAACAGGGCTCAGCGTGATGTATCCGTTGATTGGAATGATATTACTGTGACCGTTGCTGAGATGAGTCAGAGTTGGTTAAACGTTTTCAGTCAGTATTGCGGCCAGTTCTACTGAATGGCATGTTCCATCTGTGAAAAGTCACGTGCCGTTATTAAGTATTGCAAGTGACGAATGGTAGCCCACAGATTGTTGACTTAGGCGTTATTAACTGACGGAGTGAACCTCTGAACCGACGCGCTTCTGCGGATCGATAGTTGGCCCGTAATTCTGAAGGGAACCCAAAACACTAGAATGGGAGCTTTATACTCTACGTTTCTGATCCCGTTACCCGGTTTTCCCAAGAGAGATCCAATTGACGAAATGCTTGGACAGACGACAGTACCACTGAAGAAGTAAAAGTAACAAACAGAATGAAGGTCTCATAAGAAATGACCTAACATTCAGAATGTGTCATTTGACAAATGACACACAAGCGATCGGATGAGCTTTCAACGGTGTACGTGTGGGTAGTAAACATTTATGAAAGAGAGATATACAGACAATTACAAGCAACCATTCTTGAACGTTGAAATACGTGAAACAAATTCGAAAACAGAACAGACTGCCCACACAATTATTGAACGTAATACCTAAAGCACCACTGATTAGGGACTTACCAGGATTTAACGAAGCACCAGCTCATTTTCATGGCCTGTGAAAAGAGCAGTAGGATTCAAGGATTTGCCTGCATCTAAGGTAAGTTAAATCCATTTCATATGCATCATAAGTAAATGTACCTTCGGTTGTCCGTGTTCGGAGCCATCAGCAAAGATATAAAACACTGAGTATACATTTTTCCTTTATTAACCGTGGATCGTATTCACTGACGTAAAGGTAAATTCGTGTTTTCAATCAACGGGCCCAATTGCTATCAACATACACTCACGTACACCTAGGTATGTAGTCATATGTAGTCAATACTAATGTCAGTATACATGTCCACACGTCCCCACACATATGTGCGCACGTGTACATGAGTCTAAGGTCGTCATGCTGTTGTATTCTGTAGTGCCAGCCCAACTCTATGCGCAGGTACCCACAGGGAATAAACGCAGTCACATCATGTAAAAGGAGGTGACATGAGTATTATGTGTTCGGCCTTTTCCATAAAGAGAAAACGAGTGAAAGCTATTCAAACTAGTATTTTCAAGATTGATGATCCATATTGGGAAGACAATTCAGCCGACGCGAATAGAAAACATACTTCAGTATTCGTGTGAAAAGTTCGGTACGATCGTTTGTGCAGTGTGCCTCATTACAAGAGACGTCAAAGTAGCTCTCCAGGTGACATACACTGGGTACAACGGGAGATTCGCACAAATAGGTTAGCGTGAACATTGCGTAAATGTTAATGATGATATTTCAGACAGCAAATACGGACGAGACTGGGTCAAGAAGTAGAAGCGAGTGTACCTTGGGTCAAAGAGCTACAAGTTACTATGATGAGGGTCAGGTTATGTCCGTACTCCAACAGTGATCTGTAGTTTGATATGTAACTCAGTGACAAGCGTGGTATCTACTCTGGCTAAACTGATGGAATAGTCTGGACTTCGGCTGGATTCGAACCAGCGGCAGAAACACCATACCCTAACGCGGCAAACGCTCTACCAGCTGAGCTACGAAGTCACGCCGGAAGCTCAGAAATTTCACATTTGGACCTAGTTGCCCACCCAACCAACTGTGTCATATGGAATCCACCAAATGATCCAGCTGATTGACTGCCCAAGCAGGATTTCTCGATCACTTCACGCTAGAGACTACCAACGCCACCCATGAGCATTGACATTGAGTTACTGATAAGTAGTTTGGCAGATTTGATAATTTCAAAGAGATCCATTTGCGAAAAATCTGGACTTCGGCTGGATTCGAAGCTTCCGGCGTGACTTCGTAGCTCAGCTGGTAGAGCGCTTGCCGCGTTTGGGCATGGTGTTTCTGTCGCTGGTTCGAATCCAGTCGAAGTCCAGATTCTTCGCAAATAGATCTCTTTGAAATTATCAAATCTGCCAAACTACTTATCAGTAACTTGATGGAATAGTGGTATTGTCAGTGTAGACCAACCGGAGTGATCTGCGAAATAAGTCAGTCATCTGGCGTTGTTTGGAAAATCGATCGGGAGGAGTGGAAGGGCAACAATGAACGCTGCGGTCTCTCTAACGTAGAAACGAAACAAATTAAGGCATGAACTCTGGTCCGCGGTAGGATTCAAGGGGTGGTCCTTATAAGGTCCTAAGCTCCTGCAGCATCTCCAACAGACCAAATTAAAGTGGTCCTTCTTGAAATCCTCTTTCAGAAGGGACTGTTGCATGTGAAACCAGACGGCCAATCACATACACAGAACAATAAGCTCTTAATCTATATGAAGCTGTACACATAGGCGAGATACCCTCCTGATCCACATACCAAGCAAAAATCATGGATAAAAAACAGAACTGATCGACTACATAAATTTTTGTCAAATGTAAGTTTGCTTGGCGTGGTGATTACAACATACACTCGGGAGCTACCTTGTCTCACACAAGATCGGAAATACGACTGCATTCTATGTCGGGTTTGGTTGTAAGAACTGCAGTGTAAAATGCCTGACTGCTGGCTGTCAGTTCACAGAAATTTCCTTCAGAGAGACGCCAGATAAATCTTCTATAGTAGGCTCTACACATAGCGCTATGCAGTCAACTTCATTCGTACTCTTCTGTACCTATCCGTCAAAAAGGCAAGCGTATGAAACACTTAGATCGAATCCACACGCCAGTTAGGCATCGCCGCGATGTGCGATGTCATATGATCAGAAGTAAACAAGTTCAGTTTCACCGTCATCAAATAGCACCCATCCTTTCGATTAGTGGTTATTTTGGGCCGATCACTTCTACTGAGACATTTAAACTGCCATGTCTTGTGAAACTTGTCAACCACGAAAGTACACTTACTTCATCAAAATTTAAAACATATTTTACCTCACATGCACTCTTCCCTACATGCTACGTGTCACCGGCTTGTCAGTGTTAATCTTCACCGGACGAAGTTCAAATACGTGTTGAAGCATAGACTTGCTTTGATTTTGGCTAAAGTGAATTGTGTATACGTCCCGAGTACGCACATAGTGGACTGACATTGTTAGCAAGGCGAGCAATAGAGAGTAAGACTTGCAATCTCTCATTCGCGTTATTTACCCATGTTTGACATTTGCTGTGGGTATTCGAGAGAGCATTTTGACCATTTTGACACGTTACCTGGTTCAAGCTCACCAAACGCACAGGATCAGTGATGCTGTCGTTTTTTTTAATTAGATCACCTTATACAACCTTGAAGTGTTTGACCTGCAACATTGTTGCCTCACAGTCCTGTTGCCAGACGCAAGCGTACCTCAAATTCTGCAGGATGAATGGCTTACCCTAACCGATTCTTCCAAAAAGAATAGAGCACCTATTGAGTATGCGAGGACTCATCAACCTGGACGGTGCTATTTTTACATACCCGGTTGATGTGACTATCACTAGGGTGTGACAAAATGTTGGATGCAGCTTCATTCTACTAAGACTTCGTCAAAGATTATTAGCTTGACATCAGAAACCTCCAGTAGTTCAGGTGCCACATATTAACTGCACGAATGAAAAAAATCTTAACATTTCCTGTGATTTCACCAATTTGCCTCCAAATACTCTTGCACAACACTCAGTAGACTAATGCAGGATATGATCAGGTATTTGCGGAAATTCTGTCGGTTCAAGGAACGATAGCACATGTTCAATTTTTTATATCATATTATATAGACCAACGACCACCGCGGTGTCACTCAAATTTAGACAAGAGATCGGTAACTATTTGCAAGATATTTTACCAACCCTCGTACAATCTGAAGAACATCACTAAACTACATCATTTCTTACACTTTCGATATTAGGACCAATGCTGTGACAAAATTCTGAGACATCAATTAATGGATGCAGCTTTGGGCTTATTACCAATTTTGGTTGGCAACTGCACAGAAAATGCATCAAATTATGAGCAATTATTTCAAACTACCAGCCTTTATGCCAATTCCTTGACCACCAAAATTTTACATCTACAACCTATCTCAAACGAGGCCCCAGAAAACTGCTCTTGTGGCCTCTCTACTTGTCAATTCTTTTCATGTTGACCATAAAACGAAGATATATCAAACAGAATGTCTCTTTGGTCTTCTCGCATCGCTCACATCGGTTACGGCGGAGTACAGTTGTTTGACAGATGCTAACAGCAAACTTTCGAGTATTCAATGGGGAAGTAGGAGTAGGTGCTGAATGCTCCCGGCTAAGGGCCCGAGTAGGGCGACAGTGAACCTAAGCTGACTTGTGGAGAATTTAAAGCGCTTAACGGGGACCTCAACCCGGATAAGTTATAGCTTTTTTTCTTTGACACTGTAGTAGTGGATCATACAAGACCGTGGGTAGCTAGAGTCCAACTGTGATCAAAATCGATAGTATCTTACCTAAAGCACGTCTAACTTTCATAATCGCTGCTGTCATCATACTGTGGTGGATTGTCAGGCCGGAGGGGTGAGTATTCAAACACTCGGCGGAATGCCTCAATGCGGAGGGAGGCACGTCCACAAACTCTCAACGATCGGATGGCGGACAACAGGGGCAATCGGGTGAGTCATCGCTCGATCAGATCGGACCAACGGGCGAGACAAGGCACGCAAAATGGGATGGACGACCAAATCGGAGGCTCGGGGGAATATATCGACACGGCCGTGGAGGACAGTCAAAGCTCACAGTGGATAGATGGAGGACAACACGAGCGACCGTACGAGGCATCGCTGAACGGAAGCGGACCAACGGACGATGATCCCCGGATAGAAGGCGCCGATCACCCACCTAAACCACGCAGAAGTGCACGCGACGCGTGAGCGGAAACCTGGGGGTGTTGTGGGCTAGAATTCTGACTCATAAACGCGAGCGCGCGCGTAGCATGTGAACTAGCGTGTTGGACACTAAAGATTGTGTTTTATTGGACGCCTTTTTGCTACAATATGACAGTCATCCATAAGACACTAAATAATTAGATGATCTGAAGTTACGTACATCTGTCGACTGTCACAGTTCGGTGCATCGCCGACAGTTCATCTTCACACAACTTTGAGACAAGATTAAAAACTGTCGGACGCGAGTCCGTTAAAATTCACCTGTTGTTTGAGCAAGACCGGGGTTAGACCATCTTGAAAAAACGGGACACATAACAGCATTCGTCATGGCACTTCCACTTCGCCTTCGTCTCTTAAACCTCACCTTTTAACGCGGTTCTACTCGTGCATACTGATGGAGTGAAAAAATTCGCTGCGAGTTTTCACCCACGGAAACACTGACACTAATAACTATGAATAGTGTTCGACGCACTCAAACCATACCCTTAACATCCCTTGCATACTGGGATTGACAAGGGACACGTTTCAGGTGATGTCACCAATGACTTTTTGTTAACACAAACGTTTGTTTGCATCTGGTGGTGTACACTAAAAGTCGGTAGTGTCTGTTTGAATTGGGTTATCGCTTACTTCGATGTCGATGTCGAAAACACGAAAAGGGGGACTTCAGGAGGCTTGCGTCTGGCACTTATTGATTACTTCTGGTATATATGAAGTCAGCTGCATAAAGTTACAGCCCAACATTCAAGGTTTTCCTAATTAAACGGTCTGTTTGTAACCTCTTGGTAGAATTTTCGAAGCGATGATGGACATCAACAATACTTACAGTTGTTTTACGCACAAAACTCAAATCTTAGTCCGCACAACTTATAACTGTTGAAGCTGAAGCCACGTAAACCCTCCCATTGTTACTTAAATTCAGTCAATCTAGAGTTGTGCTTACCGAAAAAGGCTGACCTCCCTCACGACCGCGTTATTCCGATACCCACTGAGCTTCATGCTTACTATAACCCGCCAGCAATTATATTTTTTTGTGCTCTTCAGCTTTTTCGACGCATTATAGGCTCAGGGTCCCAAATGATTCTGAAACCAAATTTAGAATTTTTGTTCTCTTTCCTTATTCCATCTGCAGTCCAACAAGATGTACTTCTATAATGAACTACTTGTTGTACATTTCAAGTGTCCTTTTCCCAGTCTAGATCTTGTTATTTTGGTCTCTATTTTCTGTCACCGAGAGATAAGGGTTTCATTATCATACTAGTCTACCATCTGGCTAACTAGTGTTGGTCGGTCGAACCAGCTAGGTTTCCATCCACACGCCTCCGCTCTTTGCGCTTGTAGTGGATAGAGGCTGTGTGGGTCGAACCACAAATGGTGCAGCGAAAGCCACTTGCACTGACGGCTGCGAACGATCATCCTCTGGTTTCGGTCACTATGACAACCTTGTTGCATATGTAGTGCCAAACAAATGGCTTATTTGGCCGCCCTCCGATTGGCCGTGACTGACCTTGACATTTTATTGGCTACAATTCCAGGTCGTTTTGGCCGCCTGTACGTGTCACTAAATCAACAGGACTTTGTGTGTGTTAGCACGTGTTCTATGTCTTTACACGGGCTACTGGTCGTGTGCATCTTCTGCTGCGGCGTCGTGTTATCGAGTACCAGGTCAAATTAAGGCCAATCTGGAAACGGATGTCTCCGACCATATGGGTATACACGCAAGTGT